GCAGCTGTTGTGAAGTGGCCAGGGCGCCAATGGACAAGGCGACGGCTGGGGAAGCGCCGGGGACGTGGCAACGGCGGCCGGGGCACCTCCTCCTCCTCCTCCTTCCTCCTTCCTCCTTCCTCCTCCTCCTCTTCCTCCTTCTTCCTCTCCTCCTCTCTTTCTCCTCCTCCTCCTCGTGGCGTGGCCTTGCAAGGGCAGGCAAGCAATGGCGCGGCAAGGTGCGTGTGTGTGTGGTGTCAATGTGGGTGGGCGGTCGATTTAATCCCCTTTGTCGAGTGCCCCCGATCTGGCACTCGACAAAGAGGGGTTTTTTTAATTATTTTAAAATTCTTTGCCGAGTGTCTTCTCCTGACACTCGGCAAAGAGGTGATGTGCCGAGTGTCATTTTTTGACACTCGGCAAAACATTTTTTTTCACTTTTGACCTCCAAACTTTTTCTGTAGTCCTCATACAATACCTGGTACTCCATGTTCCAATGTGACACATTTCTCAGACTTTTTCTATATTTCTTTAATTTATTTCATTTAATTGAATTTTCTTGGATAATTCAAATTATAACTGCTAGTCATTCGAATAATGAAAAAAATAAATGAAAAAATGATATTCATGTTATTTAGTATAATGTGAGGCCGTATCCAGGAACAGATCACCAAATTCGAATATCTTGTTCACGAAACATGACCACGAACTTACGGTCGAGTTATTTTTAAATTCTATAAAAAGCAAACGAAGTCCAAAAATCATGAAACTTGTCAAGATGTCATGATATCATATGTGGAGGCTGTGATAAAAATTTGAGAAGGTTTCACGCGAGTTGTCACGTACGATGTTGTGCAATTAGTTTCGTAATTAGTCTATATTTAATACTCTATGCATGTGTCCAAACATCCGATGGGACAACGACTAAAGTTTAGAAGGAGGAATCAAACACCCCCTAAGCCGGCTGATGCTATTTTATTGTGAGAGAAAAATACTGTATCATGACTGATAAACATGGCTGATACGATAAGCGAATAGGACGTGTTGAACGTAGATATGGAAGGGAGAATCCATACTTCTGTACAACAACAACAACAAAACAAAACAAAAAAATGAATGGTATGTAATGTAGTTTATAGGTACTGAAAGATGATGTTAAAGTGGACCACCTTTTACCCAATATCATAGATATGTACGCCACTGATCTTGGATCCTACAACACATGCACATGCTCGCCTTGAATCGATCAATGAATTAAAGGATGGATGGATTAATTCCATTCCTTCCATCAGCTACCATACATAAGGTAGTAGTATTATATACTCCTACAGAGCTAGACCCTGATATATCTGCATGCAAGCAAGCGTACGTAGCACGAGTTAATTCTCTGCTTGCGTATGTAGTGTAACAACAGTGCATACGTGTGTGTGCCGCACGTCAATACGATGATGCAGAAAAAAGGCCATCGCATCGCTATTGCACTGCAACCCGTCTCTGGAATCGATCATGTGCCAAGTGTGATCGAGCCCCTGAACGCCACATGCATGCTGATCGATCAGCAGGGAGCAGCCAGCAGGATCGGAGTTACTTCGATCGCAGCTGCCTATGCAATGCAGTGCAATGTGCATAGGCGGCTTCAATTCAAGGCGAGCGCGCGATGGCTGCTTGCAGAATGCAGACGCATCAACCTGAATCCTTGGTGCCTGCTGCCTGCGGCAGTGCAGTGCGGTTTCTGAATCCCTGGTGGGGGACGGGGTACATGCGCGCAGTTGCAGAGATGGCTGCAATGCATGGAGGGGAAGCATATGGGCGGAATGCTGCGTGCAGGGAGAAGTAGATGCTGCTCACGGAGCCGGCAGAGGGCCCTATGCTTGTGTTTTGTGCATTACGTTAATGGCCGTCCGGCCCTTTTCGTACTTGTCCTATGTGTACGTACGCATGCCGGATTTTGGAGCGAAAAACGAAATGGTTCATTAATTGTTTTTTTCTCTCGAAATACTAAAGGTAAAAAATGACATGGATGTCATGTGAATCTACTACTCCCTTCGTCCCAAAAAGAATAGAATCCTGACGTTCAAATCATATCCCAAAAATGATGTAATTCTAAGTTGTGATTAGCTTTTTGAAGTAGGACCCACCGAATATTTGTGAAGAATTCTTTAGAAGTTCTACTTGTGAAGAATTCTCCAAAAATCCTATTCCCTCCATGCTATTTGTGAAGAATTCTCTAGAAGTCCATAAACAATGATGGAGAGTGGGGGAACATGCGTAATTTCGTGTCTCCAGGATCTTTGGCGCCAAGCTGGCTGCCATGTCAGCGTCCACGCCGCCAACATGGCCCCGACCTAGGCGCCAGAATCTATGGCGTCAAGACGTGTAAGCTCGGCGCCACCAACGATGGCGCCGAGATAAGAGTTCAGATTTTGAAATCATACTTCCAGCGGCATATTTGTGATTTTTTTTCAAAAAAAGGGCTAAAAAATAAAAAATTCGGACAATAGGCCAACCAAGCTGGCTCGCTCGCATTGTCATCATCGTCGTCGTGCTTAAGGCCGCGCCTCTCACTTTGCCCCCGCCATTGTTGCGTCGCTCGCTCCGCCTCAGCCATTGTCGTGCACCTTGTGCCACCGCGCCTTGCGAGTATGTGGGAGCGAGGCGGACTGACGTATGGAAGGAGACTAGACAAGGGAGCTAGGGTTTTGGAAGGGTTGTTGATATACTTCACTCTCCATGCATTCTATGGTCCTAATGCACCCTAAGGCCATATAATGGTAGGAACAAATGGAGCCGGGATAGTGCCTAGTCCATAGTCGTGTCGTGCCTAGGTCAGCACTATAGCCATTGGCATCGGGCGGGCGCGTTAGTGCTATGCTTTTTAGAGTTATATGCTTAGGACCACTGAACAGGCTTAGCCCATTTGGGCATCTATATAGAAAGGCACAAACACTAGAATCAGTACCAAACGGGTAAAGATCAAAATGTTTAACTATGAGTGGACTACATTTTGCAGTTTCTACCTATTTTACTTCTTGCCTCCTCTTTATGCTAGCATCTGTATTTGTTCCGTTAATCTTTATTTAGCAAAAAAGTTTAGGATTTTGTTATTCATATTTTCATTTATATGGCTTTTTGAGAAAAAAAATATTTTTCTTGTTAATCAGAATGTAGTCTACTTGCCAGAAGTAGTCATAAAGTGATTGATTCGTCACAAAACGTTTCTAGAAGAATCTAGATCCTATGAGAATATGTATCTTTACCAAAAACATCCTGAATGTATCTTGCCATGTTAGAAGTAGCAAAATACATGTTTCACTCAAGTATCCCGTGACATGTACCCGCCTATCTTCAGGCTTCTCTTCTGCAAACCTCAAGCCACTACACATTGATCTCCACGAGCACTCCAGTCCATTCTCTCCTCATCAAGAAAAACAAAAAAAGGACCATTCTTTGTGCAAACCCTAATAATAACAAACACTCATGGAGTACTAATCCCATGGAGCCACGAGCACATGCATGCATATGGTGTGGTCTAAGCCTAAGACCGGCCGGCCAGGCTCCTCCAACCATGATTAATTAACCAATAATTGCAGCCATGACCATCTGCTTGCACCTCCCCTTCAATCATAAATCCTTAAGCATCTCCCTTGACGAGCCATCCGTACGTCGGCCATGGCCCATGGGCGACAGCTCGCACGGCCGCACTGCACGTCTGCACGGCCGGTCTTCGTGGTCAGGCCCGGCCGGTGGGTGGTGACCGGTGACAACCACCGGAGGAGTGTTCGGCTGGTCTTATCAACCGGTTTATTCATTGCTTATAAGTTATTATATAGTATTTCTAGCCATGTTTAGATTGCAAAAAATTTCAAACCGATGAATAGTAGCACTTTCATCTTATTTGGTAAATATTGTCCAATCGTGGAGCAACTAAGCTCAAAAGATTCATCTCGTGATTTCTAACTAAACTGTACAATTAGTTATTTTTTTTACCTACATTTAATGCTCCATGCAAACGGCTAAAAATTGATGTGATGGAGATACAGTGAAAAAACTTGAAATTTTAAGGGTATCTAAACAAGCCCTCTCTAAAAAAAATTAGCTATACAAATCAGGCTTTACAACACGCCGGCGGCGGCGCCGGCACGACGTGACGCCACTCTCTCACAGTCACAGCCGCGGCGTGACCCTGTGGCTGGCCACAGGTACAGTACCGATCTGTACGCGCAGCGCGAGATGCCGCGCCCGGCCCTGGACCACGCCGGCGGAGGTTCCGCGCCCGGGGACGATCCCAACCGACTCTGGCGGGCGGGTCCTTTTTACGCGCGCTCTTTATCCCCGCTGACAAGTGGGTCCAGGATAGTGCGGCCGGCAAGGCTTCGCCGGCTGACAGGTGGCGTCCGCTGCTGGTGGGACCACCGTGTCATTGAGGTCAAAGGCGGACGACCGCAACGAGCCAAACGGCGTGGAGGGGTTTTGATTTTTGAAAAATGAAAACAGGAAGGCCACGGCCCACGGGCCCCTACAGGCTACACGTATGCCAGGGGCCCAGTCTCTGACGCAGTGGGCCCGGGACCGTCAGCCTTAAAACACCCCTCTCTCCCGTCCTCCGTCTTCTTTCTCTCTCCTACCACCACCACCCTGGCACCCTATGCTATGCTCTGATCTCCCCCTCCTCTCGCCTCTCGCTATCTCTCCTCGCTGCGCGCAGAGCAGCGGCTGCCCCCCGAAAGCAACCCCACAGTCACGTCGCTATCGCCAGCGCCACCACAAAAACGCATCGCACGCAGAACATCTCTCACTCCTACTCCCTCCCTGCCTCCTTCCTTCCTTGGTGGCCCGTCACATGGACATGGGCATGGAGCAGCAGCAGAAGCACTTGCGCCGGTGCTAGCTGCGACCTGAGCTCGTAGCAGCCAGTGGCAAGGACTTCTTGGCCCTCCCGGTTTGGTTGTTGCCGGAAAGGCGGTGGCTTTGGGGCAAGAAAGCGACGGTTGCGAAAGGTTCTTGCGGATTCGCGCGCGGGAATGGCAGCGAGGGCGGCTGCGGTGTCGGCGGTGGCGGCGGCGGTGCTGCTTATTGCGGCTGTGGTGTCGCCGGCGGCGGCAGCGGCGGGAGGAGGTGGAGGGGACGGGGACGGGGACGGGGACGGGCAGGCGCTGATGGCGGTCAAGGCGGGGTTCGGGAACGCGGCCAACGCGCTGGCGGACTGGGACGGCGGCCGCGACCACTGCGCCTGGCGCGGCGTCGCCTGCGACGCCGCCTCCTTCGCCGTCCTCGGCCTGTGCGTGCGCTCTCCTTGACCTCTCCTCCTCCTCCTCATCATCCCGTGCTCTTGGAATCTTCTCGCCCCGCTTCCTGCATTTGTTGCTCCGCTTCTTGCCGTGTGTTTCTTGCGTACTTGATCAGGAAGAAACACTGTTTTTTTTGGGAACAAGGAGCAGAGGACACCTTGCCGCGGTTGTTCTTTCTTTTTCGCCATCGGAGCATGTTTCGGCCATTGAAGTTTTGTTCTCAAGACACTCCTTTGACGCGTAGTACACCGTATCCGTATGGTGCTCTGTTTTTGTTGCTCATTTTGTTGGGGGAGAAGGGTCGTTTTTTTTATTTGTTTGCTGAAAAATAGAAGAATCTTCTGATGCGATTGTTTTCTGTGGGGAAAAACAGGAACCTGTCAAATCTAAACCTTGGAGGGGAGATCTCGCCGGCTATAGGGCAGCTCAAGAGCCTACAGTTCGTGTAAGTGGATGACTCGGAGAAGCGTACAATTTCCTGCATCCGCCTGAGATTTTGTGCATTTGACTATTACCTGCATCTCTGTTTTTAATCCTACACCACCTCATCTGATTTGACCCCTCGTGCCATGATGTGACACAGTTCTTTAGTACTATTTTATTTACTTTAAGCCGACCCATCCTTAGATTTGGCTTGCTGATTAGTTTATTTGTGTGCTAATGATTTGCTCGTGCAGGGATCTCAAGCTGAACAAGCTCACAGGCCAAATCCCAGATGAGATTGGGGATTGTGTCTCCTTAAAATATCTGTATGTCCCTAAATCAAGCAAGTCTTCTTTTATTGTGTTACTACCTTTTCGCTGTCGATTAGCCATTTTTATATTGGTTTCTGTTTTTTCTTGTCTCTGCAGGGATTTGTCTGGAAACTTGCTGTATGGAGACATCCCATTCTCCATCTCCAAGCTCAAGCAGCTTGAGGACCTGTAAGCGCTCTATCTCTCTCTATTCCTGTTTCCTGACTGCCTTTTACCAAGAGCTATGACTTTTAGGATATGGTCACTTTTGCACCCACCTATACTTGGGTATCTTAGTGGTTACAGTAAAAATGGGAGGCAGTTGCATATGCTGCATTCATGATTATCTCGTGTGATGCAGACATTTGTTATGGTGCAAGAAATTTGCTTGTTTGTGGTTTGTGTCTTGCTAGTTGCTACCTACTCTTTCCAGTGCTTTTTGATTGCTGGTTTTGTGACATTTTCCTCTGCTTTCTTGACAGGATTTTGAAGAACAACCAACTCACGGGACCCATCCCTTCCACATTGTCCCAGATTCCAAATCTCAAGACCTTGTGAGCTTCCTGGGACCTTTCTCTATCCGTGACTCTTTTACTTCTTTTGTGATTGCTGGACACATTTGGTGATTTTTGTTCCGTTTGTTTCACCTACTTTTTTGTGCTTTAGCGCGCACACCAAAGGAATTTCCTTTTCTGTACTTTCTTTGCCACTTATTATGCTGTCTTGGTAATGAAATGTTCGTTTGTTCCTTTGTAATAGGGATCTGGCGCAGAACATGCTTACCGGCGACATCCCCAGACTCATCTACTGGAATGAAGTACTGCAATACCTGTAAGAGCTCTACATCGTTTTGTTTAGCCCACTGTAGGAGATGTTTCCAGGTGATAACATTTCTGTTAACTTGATCCTCAGAGGCTTGAGGGGTAACTCACTGACTGGAACTTTGTCACCTGATATGTGCCAACTGACTGGCCTGTGGTACTTGTAAGTTTACTGCTCTGCACCTTTGCATATCCTGATGCATAAGCTGCAGCTTGATCTTATTGACATTGGTTGCCTTCCATATATGCAGTGATGTAAGGGGGAACAATCTCACAGGAACAATTCCAGAGGGTATAGGGAACTGCACTAGCTTTGAGATTCTGTATGTTGGTTCTGGCAATTCTGTTTTGTTTTGGTTCTCCTTAGTTTAGGATGCTATGATGCGAATTTTCCTTTGTATTTGGCTTGCAGGGATATTTCATACAACCAAATCTCTGGAGAAATACCTTACAACATAGGTTACCTTCAAGTAGCCACACTGTAAGTTTTCCTGATGCCTTCAAATCTTCTATACTTCAGCAGACTTATGTCCTCATATATATGTACCATGCAGTCCTTCCGTTTGATCCTTGCATTGTTGTTTTACAGGTCACTTCAAGGAAATAGACTGATTGGCAAAATTCCAGAAGTGATTGGCCTCATGCAGGCTCTTGCTGTCCTGTGAGTCCAAAAAAATGACACTTGAAATCCATGCTTATTGGTTTCTTTATCTTTACTAGCCCATAATGGGTTCTTTTGTCCAAAATTGTTTCTCAGAGACCTTAGTGAGAATGAATTGGTGGGGCCGATTCCTCCGATACTTGGCAACCTGTCCTACACAGGCAAACTGTTAGTATCATCAACAATATTCTTCTTTCCCAAATCTATCTTCTTTTCTTTTATTAATAGTTTGATCACCATTCGTTTCAGCTATTTACATGGAAACAAACTCACTGGAAATATACCAGCAGAACTGGGGAACATGAGTAAACTTAGCTACCTGTAAGTTACTGCTAACTAAATAATTTTGTGCTGCTGTTGTGCGTAATCTTAATGAAGGTCAATATTTGTTCCATCCAGGCAGCTGAATGACAATGAACTAGTGGGCACAATCCCAGCTGAGCTTGGCAAACTCACAGAGTTATTTGAATTGTAAGAACCTATCCTCTATGGAAGTATGCAAATTTAGTGTTTATTTTGGTCTGTGCAATTTCTGATAAGTTCTACATTCCTCTAGGAATCTTGCCAACAACAATCTTGAGGGTCATATTCCTGGAAACATCAGCTCCTGCAGTGCACTGAATAAATTGTAAGTTTGTAAGCATGCATTTGTCACAGTATTCAACAGAACAGCTATATGTTTCTCATGCGTATTATTTATGTTTTGTTCTCAGCAATGTGTATGGCAATAGACTGAATGGCTCTATCCCTGCTGGTTTCCAGAAGTTGGAGAGTTTGACATACCTGTGAGTATTAGCAGCAGTTTGCTTACAATTGTTGCAGTTCACAACGCATTATTATTTCATTTTACCAGACCCTGACATGTAATTGAATTTCTTAAACAAAATTACAGGAACCTTTCTTCAAACAATTTCAAAGGCCAGATTCCCTCTGAGCTTGGTCACATTGTCAACTTGGACACACTGTAAGGAGATCCATTTTATCTGTTACCTAATGCTATGAATTCTGCATTACGTGTAAGGTTGCAGGCTTGCAGCCACTTCATTTAGATAACTACCTTCTTCCTTCATTGTGGCACAGAGATCTTTCCTACAATGAATTCTCTGGACCAGTTCCTCCTGCTATTGGTGATCTCGAGCATCTTCTTGAATTGTATGTCGAGATCAACCTTTTAGAATTCTTATTATCTATGTGGATTGTTGCATAATGTCCACAACCGTTCATGCAGGAATTTGAGTAAAAACCATCTTACTGGATCTGTGCCTGCTGAATTCGGAAACTTGAGAAGTGTCCAAGTAATGTAAGTGAACATCCTTTGTGATGTGTTATAGTAATCGTGCAAATATATGATTCATCTGAACTATTCTTTAAATGTACAGTGACATCTCCAGCAACAACTTGTCTGGTTATCTCCCTGAAGAACTTGGACAGCTGCAAAACCTTGATAGCTTGTGAGTTCTCCTTCGTGGTACTATTATGTTGAATTTCTACTGCATACTGCATTAGAATTCTACTGAACTGTGATTTTATTGCACAGGATTCTTAACAACAACAATTTGGTTGGGGAGATCCCTGCTCAGCTGGCTAACTGCTTCAGCTTAATCACCTTGTATGTTTTTTGTGCTAACTTTGTCCTAACAGCATGGTTAATTAATTCCCCAGCATTAAGACATCTGTTATTTTCATTTCAGAAATTTATCATACAACAACTTTACTGGACATGTCCCATCAGCAAAAAACTTCTCAAAGTTCCCAATGGAAAGGTATAGACAAATGGCTCTCTCTGTGGTGTTTGATATTCCTTATTGAACCATAGTTTCTAATAGGAACCCATATCTAAATGCAGCTTCGTGGGTAATCCGATGCTCCATGTGTACTGCAAAGACTCCAGCTGTGGACATTCTCATGGAACAAAAGGTACCAAGCAAGTCCTGTGCAGCCACTGGTCTATTTATGTCTAAGCTCTAACTCAAGCTTTTATATAACTTTTACTCCAGTTAATATTTCTCGGACGGCAGTTGCTTGCATTATCTTAGGCTTCATCATATTACTCTGCATTATGCTGCTGGCAATATACAAAACCAATCAGCCACATCCACCTGAGAAAGGATCTGACAAGCCAGTGCAAGGTTTGTGCATATGCCAGTCACCCCTTGAATAGCAATATACTATTCCAGAGCCATGTCCAAATATGTTAAGTTGTTAACACTCATCTATTACTTTTCTTGATCATATTTCAGGACCACCAAAGCTAGTAGTTCTTCAAATGGACATGGCTACCCATACCTATGAAGAAATTATGAGGTTGACTGAGAATTTGAGCGAGAAATACATCATTGGTTATGGGGCATCAAGTACTGTGTACAGATGTGATCTCAAGAGCGGCAAGGCCATCGCTGTCAAACGGCTTTACAGTCAGTATAACCACAGCCTCCGTGAGTTTGAGACAGAACTGGAGACGATCGGTAGCATCCGACACAGGAATCTCGTCAGCCTTCATGGCTTCTCACTCTCCCCTCATGGAAATCTGCTTTTCTACGATTACATGGAAAATGGTTCCCTGTGGGATCTTCTTCATGGTTAGGGTTCCTGAGTTTTTATTCTTGTTGCTTCCTTCCATGCACTCTTGCAGCTGTGCCTCATTCAACGCATCTCTTGACTCTGATAACCCGGGTCATTTTCAGGTCCATCAAAGAAGGTGAAGCTTGATTGGGACACAAGGCTGAAGATTGCGGTGGGTGCTGCTCAAGGACTGGCCTATCTTCACCATGATTGCAACCCTCGCATAATCCACAGGGATGTCAAGTCTTCAAACATCCTGCTCAACGAGAACTTTGAAGCGCACCTCTCTGATTTCGGCATCGCCAAATGTGTCCCGGCTGCCAAGTCCCATGCCTCCACCTACGTGCTAGGAACCATTGGGTACATCGATCCAGAGTATGCTCGCACGTCGAGGCTCAATGAGAAATCAGATGTCTACAGCTTCGGCATCGTCCTTCTGGAGCTGCTCACCGGGAAGAAGGCCGTAGACAATGAATCCAACTTGCACCAATTGGTAAGTTGTCCCCATACTGAACTCCTTTACCAGATCTCTCCTTTAACTGTTACTATAGATCACATGCTAGTGAATGCTGAACAATGAAAATACTGTGATGCCATGTAGATTTATACTAGTCTTCTAGTGATTATAACATTTCAAAGTACTGTGATTTCTTGCAATGGTTTGACTTGCATGAGTGATGCTATATGTTTGTTGCATTACATGTGTAGATACTCTCAAAAGCTGACGACAACACGGTGATGGAGGCTGTGGACTCGGAGGTGTCAGTGACGTGCACGGACATGAACCTGGTCCGGAAGGCCTTCCAGCTGGCCCTGCTGTGCACCAAGCGGCACCCCGTGGACCGGCCGACCATGCACGAGGTCGCGAGGGTGCTGCTCTCCCTCCTGCCGGCGCCGCTCGCCGCGAAGCCTCCCGCGACGAAGGCGGCGGCCGGCGACTACACGCGCTTCCTCGCGACGGCAGCCGACATGAACCATGGTGTGTCTGACGACATCGGCGATAACAGCTCCTCCGACGAGCAGTGGTTCGTGCGGTTCGGCGAGGTCATATCCAAGCACACACTGTCATGATCCTCCCTCTCCCCCTAACACCCCCAGAAAATTTTCTCCCAAGTAGAGATCGAAGCAAGAAGGTAGTAAAAGCATAGTAGCACAGTGCAGGAAATAGACGTAGGATTATGAGATCGCGGTAGATGGAGACGATCGATGCCACCATTGTTCTTGTGGATGTTGGTTTAGAAGTGTCCAAATGGAAGGAAGAACAGGAGGTAACTCCGGTGCTGCTAGGACGGGTTTGCAGTGGTTGGTTTGGTTGTCCTTGGTGTAATCACACGGCACGAGGTGTCCCGTGAACGCCATGAATCTGAGCCATTATGCGTCAGCAGAGCCGGACGTGAGTTTCTTGGATCCTGGAAGAGGGACCGCATTGAATCGAACCGTGCAACCTGCATTGGACAGAGGGTCGTTGTAAATGAAATGCATCACCGTTTTTTTGGCTGCTATTTTTTAGCTGCCCAGCGGCTCCCTCCCCCTGCTGCGTACGTTTATGTTTTACTTTCTCGGTCCATAAAAAAACACAATTCTAGCTCTGAACTTGACACACGCCGTGTGTCCCAAGTTCAGAGCTAGAATTGCTGTGTCCAAGTTCAGAGTTAGAATTGCGTTTTTTTTTTTACGGAGGAAGTATCAGTGTATGGGTATGGATGCAACTGAATTTCTGCCTTGCTTGGCTGGTTCACCGTCCTGCTTGCTTGACGTGAGTAGCTGCCAGCACTTACGGGTGAACTCAGCATGGGTGTAAACTTTGCACTGAAAGGGTGAACCCTTGGCTGTGCGTTTATACGTACAAGTTTCAACTGCTGCTGGAATCCTTGCTCTGAGGCCGTGTCGAAGCCCTTGGCTGTTACAGCTGTACAGTACTACACACAGGCCGGCCGGACCGGCCGTTTCGCGAGTGGTCGAGCTCTGACTCGTCTGCTAGTCAATGGCAGTTCTGCAACTGCAAGCAACTGTCCTCTCGGCCTTCTCCGATTAGACCCATCCATGCGACCTGCCGGCATCCGGCAGATGCCGCTGCTCGCTTTGGAAGGCTTCTGTTAGCAGCAGGTACAGGGGCAGAGCCATGTAGCTGACAGCGCACGCGCCGTGCGTGACGCATCCACGCGCACAGAGCGCCACTGCCCGCCCACTGGCATGTCTCCTGGTGAGTGGTGACTGCACTGTGCGCCACCGATGCAGCCCCGTGATGGAGCGCGACAGGTCGACAGGAGCATCGCGCAGCAGAGCACCAGTGCGCCACAGGAACGAACACTCGCGCGCCCCGTGATGAGGCGGCGGCCCGGAACGGAGGTGCGGCCCAATGAGGCAACGAGTCTGAGGAATATCGCAGCGGCCAGCCGGCGACGAGCCGACGGGGCGGGGTCCGCGGCCGACGCGACGTGGGAAGAGGCAGCAGAGCAGGTGCCGGGGGCCGTGATGGGACAAACCGACGTGCGCACTTGACCGGCGACCCACCCCTGGGTGGCTGGGTCCCTGACCCTGAGCCGCCCTGCCACCGGACACGGCGGCGGTTAGCACTGCTCGGCTCGGCTCGACACAACTGTGAACCAGGTCACCAGGAGACCGGGAGTCCAGGACGTACTCCGGCAGAGATTCCTGCTGCCACCATCCACAGTAACAGCGAAATCTTGCTCCAGTGCACCTGCAAGTTTTTGTCTGTAGGCTATGCAGGTGATTTATCTGTGGCGGTTACCACGCATTGAGATTCGAGAATGAGAAGCACGGCGAAGAATCCGGCGACCTCGCCAGGTAATCGCAGCATGTTAGCGTTGCAGGACTGCGCTTTGTTCGTGGCTCTCTCAAGGCGTTAATCCTCCAGGGGGACCGGGAGAGCCGGCCATGTGCGTGGACTAGGTAGCGCTCCGAGGCCTCAGGCCTCAGCAGTCACCAGTCAGCACCAGCGGCAGGCCGGCAGCACTGCTCACATCGACTGTGATCCAGCCAGGAGATTCCTGGCGCTGGCACTACTGTTGACAGCAGCAGCGAAATTTTTTGTCCTGAACCGCACAGCGCGATGCATTTGGAGAACATGGGGGACACGGCGAAGACGAAGAAGAGCATGACCTTGCCAAGGCGATTGCAATATGTTACACTTTGGAGTCGCTGCGGAACGCCGTAGACTGCAGATACACCGGGTGAGACGCCCCACAGTGACACTATGCGCTATGGTTTATCTCTAACTGTACAAAAAAGCTTCCCATCACAGCCATGGCTCATTGGCTCCGGGCAGCTGAGAGACCCAATGGTAAACTGCAGCGGCCCAGCAGCAGCAACTCTATGGCCGCGACGAGAAACGGTGCTCCACACCCGATGACGCCGGACGACGCACCTCAGTGATGGTGCCCTAATGTCAGATAATGTATGGCTTCATCTTGTTATTCAAAACGAAGAGGATGTGAGCTTCCTTCTTAGTCAACTGTCCAAAACACCAATACAAACGCTCGGCCTGCACACGAGTTTAGGGGGTGCACTGTCAACACGACAACGCAATTATATCAGTGGCGATGGTGATGCGGTAAATATGTACCTTTTCTGCCGGTGGAGAGACGTTGAGTCTGCACCAGGCACTAACTATCAAAAGAGAAATCCTGTATATTCTACTTCGTCATTGACGCGGGTCTGGAAAGGGAAAACAAATGGAAGGGTGTCTGTCATGCATTAAAAGAGACTTAGTGAAACAAACAGGATAGTTATCTCATCAAGTAGATGGACATTGACGGGTACTTACCAGACTAGCGGTGCATGTTACCGTTCATGTTCTCTTTGCAGTCCTTGCAATACAATAAAAGAGACCTTTGAGCGCTTTGAATTGAGATGCAAGAACAAGAACAAACAAGAAGTGAACGGGAAACAAGACGACAACCTTGGTAGTGATATAATTTGGCAGATCACTGATCTGACGCCCTACTCCGCGATTTTGGTGTGCTCCCGCAGTTAAAGAAAGCTTCCAAAATTATTCAAGCAAATGTCAGTGTAATCAACGTAGTGACGAGCCTTTCATGCTATTATATACATACAAACCTTGTTAAATAGTTCAGACAATGGAGCTGGATTTATTTTCCGGCCTGTTGATAGGTTAAATTCCTACAGTTTAAAATCACAAGAGCCAGATATTTTGAGAAATCGAGGGGGTATACATTCTTTCAGTCACAAGCAACAAAGAAACTATAGAAGGGAAAATGAGTATCACTACAAAATTACCTTAGGCACAGTTGTATTCCTTTTTGCACATTGAAATACACCGTCACCTTTGCTCGCTAACATCTGTTCACAGAAGGTACAAGATGAACCATTCGCTCTCTGAATACAGCAGGACAGGAACCTTCATAAAATGAGCTCACAAATAGAAAGAAGACATTTAATGTCAGATACCTTTCTATCCAACAGCCGGGCCTTAAATTTAAACAGATCATCTCTGCAATCATCAGGTTTGTTATCATCTACACTGCTACAAGACAACAGTGAAATCATGCATAAGTTCATTTGTTAATAGACAAAAGGTTGCAGAAATGTGTCTTATTACATCATGCCCAATTGCCCATGTTTTGGTAAAATCATAGGTATGGCAGAAATAGAGTGATCACAAAAAGGAGTCTTATTGATCACCTTTTGATACATCAAATCATGCCTTGACAGATGCAATCAATAGACTAGGTGATTTCCACATCTCATAACAGTATGGCAGTAGTAGAACATCTCATAACAGACTTACCTCTTAAGATGCCTTGCATGATTGGATGTACATGCTGGCACATTTGACCCAACATCCTCATGTTGTCTGCTTGCATGCTGATGACCAGTAGCCCGAAGAGGTTGAACTACCTGATAGAGATCAAATTTTCAAATTGAACCAGAAACTAAGGATACAACATTACAGCTGTACAAGAAAGAGAGTAAAGCATTTACATATGGTAAATCCAGAAGCTTAGCGACTGTTCAAAATAAGCAGACGAACTCTACTAGGGAAAAAATAGGAGCAAATAGAACATCTTCGACTATGAAATTTGATTAAATGATGTGCAAGGATAAATAACAGAAGGCAAAGCTCATTCAGGCAGTGAATCAGTGAAGTACGAATGTATCGGTTTCCCTGAATGCAACACTCGACCTGTGAGGGAAGAACCGCCCCCACGGCATCATAATTAAGGGGCCGTATGACCCCGGTCAAGACCTCCACCTCCCCCAATTCTGGCCCATGGCCATTTATAGGGCCAAACCGAACTTGGGCCGGCTTCCACCATTACCCAGGCCGGCACAGCGCATTGTTACCTGGGCTGGTAACGCACCAGAGGCACAAGCCAGTGAGGGGGATCTTTTTGGGTGTAATACCAGGGTTCAACCCCTGTCGGTGGGCATAACCATGACCAGCCACACCACTGAACTATCTCTCAGTTTGCTCCCTGAACGCAATAGTCCAGATCATTATAAAATCATTCATTTCTTGGGAGATAAATTTAATAAATTCACACCTAGGATTTTAGATTAACAGCATTCCACAAATCATGCTGCTGGGAAGCATATCTCAACTAAGCATATGTTCCTGGGAGCCAATTTGCTCATATTTTTCAAGATTGTGAGACTAGTTTAAACGTAATTCATAATCAATTAAAGGATAAAGAAGTACATGATGTTCCCAACCTTTCTAGTTGATGCCACTTGGACTGTCGGAGCATATGGTGCAACCCATTCATTTAACTGCTTTGGGTTAGTTGGCCTGACATGTTACAGGTAAATGTTTCAAAACTACCACAACAGAAGTACCTTATATTTGGAAATAAAAACATGAAATCAAGAGAAAATGACTTTACACTGATCTAAGAGCCTTTGACCTCTCCGCTCTTAGCTTTGTTGCCAAATTAGGTGATCTAGGAATTGTAATCTTCAATCTGGGCAAACCAGAGGGCCGATCCATGTTTTGATTCATAACATTCTGTATCCATAAGAATGTTGTCAGGCAAGATTTGAGGGAGAGTAGAGAACTAATAGAAATTATGTTGTGTAACATAACAGCAACATCTTTACAGAAAGGCGGTTTAAGACAGCACAGCAGCAGCAACTAGTTGCAAAATTAGCAAGTACTCCGTATGTGTTTATTTCTTTTATAAAGAAATATAATTAAGGAGACTCAGAGAACTGCAGTAGCAGCAGCATAAAATGTCGATTTATAATCAGTTTAAGCAGATGGTTTTAGGAGCTTTTACCTTTTCATGATTTTTATGAATAAACTCATGCTGGGTAGCAGTAGCAGCAGCCTGTACCAGCGAGTAGCTTCAGTAAAGAGCAAGAAGCAAAGTTATTCGATAAAATAGTACTCCCTCCATTCCAAAATATAAGACGTTTTGGCTTTTCTAGATACATAGCTTTTACTATACATTTAGATATACAGTATGTCTAGATACATAGTAAAAGCAATGCATCTAGAAAAGTCAAAACGTCTTATAATTTGGAATGGAGGGAGTATCAATAAATCAATCTGTACCTTTATGCTCATAAACAACTCAAGATAGCAATTGACTATTAAAAAAAAAGTGCAGTATCTACATCTAACTTAACTAGCTGTTGTGTTTGCCATCATTAAAACATTGTGAAATAGTTCAGAGTTAAAAAAAAAAAACAGAACATGAAAATTTGGCAAATGTCACATCTCCACATGAAAACTGTACAACACCTTGTTGAGATGCCCATTCTCTAATCTCTGTCTTTTAGAAGATTGGTAAGTGCAATCGTTTGAGCTTATGGTAGTTTTCTCACTTCTAACTCCCACTGACTTTTTACTCCTGAAAACAAATCAAATTGAGATTAAAAAAAGGTATTCACAAACCTGATGATGAAGTATTTTTTTAGTTAACTAAAAAAAAGGTAGATGCCACAAATTTGAAATTCCATGAAAGCTAATTCAGTGGCAGATAATAGTAACAGATGCTTGAGTTTGGGAACACTGAAAGGAGAATGAAAAAGGAAAAGATGAAAAATAATGAGAAGACAAAATACTTGTGATTATAATATTGAAATATGCCCAGTGCTAAAGGCACATTCACAACTAATGGTTCATCTAAACCAAACAGCACATATAGCGCAAGTTGGTTAAATAAATATGAGGATTTAAGTTACAAAGGTGGCTCACAAAATCAACCATCATGATGCCATTTCAATTTCTTTCATAGTCAGTCCACATAAACTTCACAAAAGTCAGCAAGTTTAATATTACTTACTGTGTCAAATTCTTTATTTCTGCTTGTCTCTTTTGCTTGGCTAACTGACTGGCTGTAGGCTTCATCAGTGTGGAGCCTCTCAAGGAAGTGCCCTTCATGGTAGTTCGATAGCGAGATTGGCGTTCATTTTCCGATGCACCATTGCGTGGTTTTCGCCCTGTTTTAGCAGTAAAGAACCATAAATAATTTAAACTTCTAGAAGAAATCAATGAGAATATAGAAGCACACAGCTGGTAAATAGGAGGAGAGGGTTTCTATGTGTTAGGAAAATGATTCAAGAGTTTGTTCAGTCCTTTTAGGTGTTTGAAATTCTGTCTATTGCCAAGCTAGGGATAAGCATGTTGTCAGACATGTCAATTTGTAATCTAGCAAGCACCTTTTCATCAATAAAAGGATTTATCTTGGTATCAACATGTTTTCAAGATAGCTTGGGGTCGTTGTGTTTTTTGCTACTACGATTCCAATAATTCTAAAAAGTCGAACAATATAGTGATATAGTGATAGAGTGGTGGAAGAGCAATGCTCAGAATTAACTGTAACACCCAAGGATGAACCAAAGAAGCCCATAAACACTGATTCAACCGCTTATCTAGTAAAATGTAATATAAATGATAACTGAATCATCAAACAGATTAACAGATTAGAAACGAAATAGTGAACTTCAGGCTCAGTGCTAGAATTTAGATTTTCAAGACCTTCGAACCGATAGACTTTTTGCTCCACGCCACTGGAACATTCGTGAGAAGCCGTAGAACAATGCAGAGCATATGTATCTGCAATGCTTCTAATGGTTTGTAATCCAAGATCCTCAGCTAACATCTTAGCAATTAAGGCTGCAGAAACAAAAAGATGAAAGTTAGTGATATATTTACTAGGAATAGGAAGAAAAAATAAAGTAACAAGTGAAACATTTTCTGTACAAGGAATCCATTAACTATTATCATTGCGAGTTTCCATGATTTTGCATTTTAACGTCACTACTCAATCATGCGCAAAGAAAAAACTTTAAGACAATTTGAACTCCTCTCTATAAGATGTAGGCATCACTCTTCTCCCCATCAGACAGTGTTACAGAAAAATGAAAAGCAGCTATACTCATGAAATCACATAAAAGCCCAATGTGGTGATACACTGCTACCCCCTCAGCTATATCGTTTTTATTTCTGATATCTCTTTCATTTTAACTAGCAGCCAACTTCTCAACCATATAACTGGCAACAACAAGAGCATGAGCTTTCCTCATGACATTATAAAATGATATCATAACAATAAGTGATACTAAGTGATCCCCATTTTTTTTGTTATTTGCTTTCACTCTGTATCTTTTTTTCTTATTGTGTCAAGGTAATATTCTGGCTCTGGGCTTTTGGCAATAAAAAATCTTCTATATGTTTTTTCTTCTTGTGTCAAGGTAATATTCTGGTTCTGGGCTTTTGGCAATAAAAAATCCTCTATATGTCTACACCAATTTAACAACTAGAAACAGGGACCTTCATGCAAACATTTTAATCATGGAAACTGATCTGAGAATGGTGACGTTTGGGCCCAACACTGAGAAACAGTCAGCTTCTCACAAATTTCCTAACGGTCAATGGGCTTAACATGGGGACAACTTTGCACCAAGATTTCTCCGAACTCTGAAAAGATCAAACGGCGCCTATCTGTCCATTTTACCCCTGAAAACACCACCAATAACGACTCCGTAACCATACCCGATCATTTATGCATTGGGGCGGACTGGAAGAAAAAAAAAACTCGCGAAATGGCCCATTTCCTAAATCCATCGAATTCCCCCACTAAACCTGCGGTAACACATATCGGAGGGGGAATGCTGGAGCGTCACATTTCAAACGCAAGAGTCGATCGCACGGGACAAACCCCATTCCCGTTATCCCGTATGACCCCGAATCAAAGCCCTCCACGCGCGGAGACACAAAGCTAGAAATCGCGAGGCGAGGGAGGGGAGAGCACGCACGAGAGGGTGGGTAGCTGGGGGCGGCGGCGAACCACTCCTGCGCCGCAGCGGCATCCAGCGGCGCCTCCTCCTGGGTGAGGTCGAACCACCTGGGCGCGTCGAACTCGTAGTCCAGGTCCACCTGGAACCACGTGACATCCATGATCATCACCCCCTCGCGCCCGCCTCCGCCGTCGTCCATGCCCCCCGCCTCCTCCTCCCCCTCCCCCTCCCCGTCTCCCACCCCCTGCCGCCGCCGCCGCCGCCGCCGGGCGAGGACGGGGCGGAGGAGGCGGCGTCGCACATCTCGTCGTCGCTGTCCATGCCGGGAGGACGGGGTACCGGCCTCTAGCGTCCGTCCACGCCGGGACGGGCGCGGCGGTGGCGGTGACGGCGAGGTGTTTGAAGGCTGGCCTGGCCGGAGGAGCGGCCGAAGGCAGAAGGGAAAGCCGAGGGAATTTGAAATGCGGGGTTCGGCACGGACCTCGGGCTTTGGCGTGTGCAGGATTTGACCTGGTGCTGGGAGAGCAAATTTACGGGTGGGTCCCTGTGGTTTCCGGTTTCTCGCTTGGGCGGTGGATTTGGGGCCGCCCCACTGCGGCAGCGCAGGAGAATGCAGAGGGGTACCATAGAATCGTGCACAGTACCGTTGCCTTTCAAGGAAACATGCGGTAGGTATTGAGAAGTTATTGTTGTATGGTTGGTTTGTTTTTTTCTCTATACATGGTAAATAATTCAACTACCATACAATGGTTCTGTTGCTGTTTTATGCAGCTAAAAAGATCGAGCAACCATACAAATAAAATAGTACTCCATCTGTTTCAAATATATCTAGAAATATTAAAACGTCTTATAATTTGAAACGAGTGGAGTAGCTTATATTGTATGACATAATCATATATATAACTATTTTTCTATCATAGCTCTATGATGTTTTTACACTCTTAAGTAGTAGGAGAACGTGTACTTTTTTGCGTATTGAGATGTTGAATAGTTGTGATGACCGAGGCATTAGGAGCTTGTTTGATTAGCGTGACAAGCTTGTCTGGCTATGCAGGTCGTTGAATTTGAGCGTCTAGCGGTCTAGATCGCTGCCTGGCCAGCAAGTTGCCTTCTAAGTCATGGTCCAAACAAACTCTTGGTCTTTGAGGGGCATTTGAACCTGTTTAGATCTCATGCAGCTAACAATTAGGTGAGGTCCCATTTAAATTCTCAGCTAATAAACCAACTCATGTCTTATCTACCACCCAGCTAATAAGGCCAGTTTCAATGAGGTTTTCAGAGGAGTTTACATTCTTATTTAATACAGTGACACATCAGTAAATTTTTTAATTTGACAGTTTATTTATAAAGAAAGAGATAGAGAGAGTTCGATGTCACGGTTATCAACCCAAAAAATATGCGGCAGTCTTGGGGCGTGTTTGGTTGTCAGCCAAAACACGCCACGCCTAACTGCGGCTGCCACACCAACAAAGTTACCGTTTGGTTCTCATCCACGTTTTGGCCGCCACGGCTTGTTCTCCTGTCGCTTGTGCGCCGCAGCTTTTGGCCGCCGCGGCTGTGGCGAGCGTGGCTGTGGCGTGGCAACACTGGCCGGCAACCAAGCAGCCCCCTTGATAACTCTGTCGTAAAACTTTCCGCCGAAACTGACCTCTAAACTACTAACATAGGTACAGTAATAGTCAGTTGAGTCCATCCAAACAAGTCTCTCCTGCACGCCTCGTATTGGACCTTGACCAAATCAGCAAGCGCAAGCACGAACATGCTCGCTCGGCCGGCACCGGCACCAAAGTAAAACCAGGGCGCCATCTGAAAAGTACTCCGTACATCGTATCCCTTGCGCTTGTTCTCGGGGACGTCGCGGCGCGTCGGAAGATCCAAGCAGGTGGCGTAATTTCCCCGGCACTATCCCACCTCCACCTCCAGGCCTCGGAAGGCGCGCGCAGGAATCCGATGCGAGCAGGCACAGGCGCACAGCAGGCGCGTTGCTCGTCGGCTTCTCCTCTTCACCATTCCGTGCCGCTGCCGGCTGCCTAGTATATAGATGAGATCCCGTTTCTCTCGAGGTCGCCCAGCACCACCAACGCATCGTTTGGGACAACTTTTGCTCGGATTCAAAACTTGAACCCTCCAGTATTTTGAACTTCACCTTGGTAGTACTAGTACTGTACTGTACTGCAGTATTCCTGCACGGCGTCGAGTGACGCGATCGTTTCGCCAGTTTGACGCCGTGCCGGCGCGCCCAGGCACTGAACTCTGAAGCAGCGTTGCCGTCTGCTGCTGGCGCTGCTTTCTTTTTGGCAGCTTTGACGCCCGCGACTCGCGTGCATCTGCAGAGCGCAGCACAAGCGTACACGCGAGCCCTTTTTCGTCCGTTACTCCTCTCCTCCTGTACCTCCCCCGGCTTGCTGGCCGTGTCACCTCGACTCGATCTCGCCGTACACGGCCGATCCTTGACCCGGCCAGCCCCAGACGAAACGCCCGGCACCGTTGGCGGCGGCGGCGTGCGTAACGTACGTGGCGCGTGCGCCCCTCCATGCAGAGCTCGCTGTACACGTACACCCTAGTAGCTACTAGCTAGTATCGCGCCAGACGGGTCATGCGGATTTGTACGTGCACGGCTACTGTTGCCGCGTAGAGTACGTCTTTTCTTGAATTGATTGATGGCGAGAGAAATGATCGATTCCGTCGGTACAGTTAAAATTAGGATCGCCGCCGCTCTAGAAAGTTGGATGAATCTTTGGCGTATTGCCGTACGTGTTGGAACAAAACACAAGGTCGAGCTATAAGTATGGGTCCGTGACGGTTGCAAAGATTCGGTAGGCTCAAATTCGGAGTTCGAGCATAAACCATCTATGACTTTGTGTCGTCGGTTGTTCGAGTTATGTGATTTCTAGATTCAGTGACGGAGGAGAAACTGGGCCTCACCTCCTCTATGACAATAGTAAGTTTAATAGCAGCTTATACAATTCTCATGGATATTTTATAGGACTACACCTATAGTGATCATCTGAGAAGTTTGATGACTAATACAGCAGTAGCTTTTGTAATTTTTTCCATCCTTAAATTTTTATTCACCCTCCGCCACTGAAAGGATTGTAAGGTAATGGCGAGTCCCACAACATATTTTTGTTGTGTACGGATTAGTTATTAACTCCTCTTAACGTATTTGAGTGATAGTGAATATTGCAAATCGAGCATAACGGTGAAAAGCATAAAAGACTTGTTTTTTCTTCTATTAGCCGATATTCTCCTTTTCGCTAAGGGTGTGTTTGGCATTGCGATGCGGCCACTGCCCCAGCCCGTGGCACGAAAAACACGAGCACTAGTTCAATCTCATGGTTTCCTGTCTTGTGTGCGGCGAAAAGAATCATCAATGCAGCGAGACGTTTTGTAGGATAATTTTTTATTCCCGCAATGGGGTGACCGTAGATCCAATTTTAATTAAAAACGAACACATCGGATGTCACATTATAGCTCTATTTGTTTTCACTTACAACTGTTTGTTTATAATCACCGTATCATAGAAACTTTTTCGATTCTCGATTGTACTACTTCAAAATTATGAAGCGGTAGTCAAAAGAATCAGGAAATCAAAGGGGTTGTTGGAATTCTCATAGGCAAAAACAAATAGGGCCGAGACTTTACATTAATCTAGAGGATTGTTATGTTTGCACTCATAGACACTGTAACTATGAATTGGAGGGAGAAGGGGCGCATATGCTCTCAAATAACCAATTTACCGTCAAGCCCTGATTCCATGCAGCGGCTGTTTGCCATGCAGCAACATTATATTGTCTCTAGAAGACTAGATTACTAGAACCCCGTGCATTTATATGATATAAAAAAGATAGATTAAAAATTAAAATTCAATTCATTACCATTTTAATGCAACACCCTTTGTCTAATCCATGCTTTGTAGCATCTTTTTTCTAACCTTCCTCCTGGCTCCGCCATGCACCGGCCGTGCGAGAGTGGAGTCACATGAGTCAAGAGTCCTAGCACGACGGTATCGTGAGTTTCATTCCATAGTAGTGGTAGTAGTAGAGTTGCTCAACGTCCACCGTGTGACTTGTCAAAAAAAAAAAGGTCCACCGTGTGCTACTTCACGCCCGCTCAGCTGCCGGCTCGAATAGCTCTACTTCTAGTTGGATCTCAACGTGCGGAACTGATTTCCTGTAAGTGATAACTGTTGAACAGCAGTGGGGTGCCTACAATTGGATGGCATTGGCATTGGATGGCATTGGCAAGTTCGATTGAAAACTTAAGGCTATGTTAGCAAGTTAAAGTTGTTTTGTTATGAGAGAAAAAATACTATATGATTCTAAATAATAATGTTGATAAGTTCAAACGAAAGTAACTTTTGAGTTAAATTTAAAATATTTTGCCAGTTGCCAGAGGTAAGTAATTTTCTTTTAAATTTAAAAATCCATGGAGGAGTAGGTGTAGGTCCTTAGCTCATCTTGCTTGTTTAATGGGTCCCTAGCTCATCTTGCTCTGTTGTATTATTCAATTCAATTCGATTGGTAAAATACACTCCTGTACAAAAGGAAACATGACGTGGTTGTGATTGAATTGCACCCTGGTGGTCCGGTGGAGCGGATTCAGGCCACCTGCGCGCTGGCGCTGCGCCTCTAGGGACTCACGCGGTTGGGCCAAAGCTGGATGCAGTCCCATGGAGTCTAGACGTCTAGTGATGGGCCGTGGAGTGTGTCTGGTGTGGTCTTTGCGTTGCGTCCACCGCGCGCCAGCTGAGTTGTTGCTTATCTACAGGCGCATCATCAAAGACACACCCACACGTGCACTGTAGCCATAGAGCATGTTAACATCTACTCCTTCCGTTTCAAATTATAATTCGTTTGACTTTTTTTTACCCTAAGTTTGACCACTTGTCTTATTCAAAAAAATTATACAAACATAGTCAAATTTAAGTCATTCTTAAAGAACTTTTGTTAATAAAGGAAGCCACAACAAAAGAAGTGATATTTAGCACAAAATTTTGAATAAGACGAGTGGTCAAACCTATAGTAAAAAAAAGTCAAAAAACCTATAATTTAGAAACGGATTTAGTACTAGGCATCTGATTGTTACTAGCTGCTAGCCCGAGGAAGTCAGCTAAGCCCTGAAATAATCCTGCAGCTAATACTTAGTATGGTAGTTAATTACCTAGTAATGGCCTGTTTTGGTTCGTGACCAAAATTT